AATGGGGAGGACTCTGTATGGCTGACCGGGGGTGGCCCTAGCAGTGCCATTGAGAGGGAGGTACTGCGACTTTAGGGCAGGCTCTTGGGAACATGGGGGACCCGGTGAAGAGGTTCATGGTATTAGTACTAGACTAGTAGTAGTTCAGTGATGTAGTTAGTTGGTTAATAGTTGTAGGGTATGTGCAGAGAGTGTACATGTATGTGTGTAATCCTTAGTTTAGGGCAGGTCAAATGGCATATTGGTTTGTGTACTGTGTAAATCCGGAGTCCTTAGTTTAGGGCAGGTCAAATGGTATATTGGTTTGCGTACTGTGTAAATCCGGAGTCCTTAGTTTAGGGCAGGTCAAATGGCATATTGGTTTGTGTACTGTGTAAATCCGGAGTCCTTAGTTTAGGGCAGGTCAAATGGCATATTGGTTTGTGTACTGTGTAAATCCGGAGTCCTATAGTTTAGGGCAGGTCAAATGGCATATTGGTTTGTGTACTGTGTAAATCGCGGAGTCCCTTAGTTTAGGGCAGGTCAAATGGCATATTGGTTTGTGTACTGTGTAAATCCGGAGTCCTTAGTTTAGGGCAGGTCAAATGGTATATTGGTTTGCGTACTGTGTAAATCCGGAGTCCTTAGTTTAGGGCAGGTCAAATGGTATATTGGTTTGCGTACTGTGTAATTCCGGAGTCCTTAGTTTAGGGCAGGTCAAATGGTATATTGGTTTGCATACTGTGTAATTCCGGAGTCCTTAGTTTAGGGCAGGTCAAATGGTATATTGGTTTGTGTACTGTGTAAATCCGGAGTCCTTAGTTTAGGGCAGGTCAAATGGGACTGGTGGTGCACCTGGAAGAGACTTAAGTGTGTGTAGTAGGTGGGGCTGAGTTTATGGTGGTGGTATAGGTGGAGTGTGAATGAGCTGGGGTGGGTGGTGCTTTAGGGCAGGTAAGTTCAGATGAGGTGAGTTATGATTTTGAAGGTAAAGTAATGGCCATGGTCCAGTTAAGTGCCTATGGGTTTAAGGACAGTGCCATACAGCCATACATCTCCTCTGTCTCCTCTGCAAAGTGCACCAGTGACTCGGACTTTAGGGCAGGCTTTTGGTGAACCTGGGTGCACTTGTTCCAGCCCCAGCATTCAGCAGCAGTCTAAATGAGCACTGGATACAACCCACCTGACCGCTTGGGTGGGCACTTTAGGGCAGGCTCCCCTTGCACTTTGTCCCCTGAGGTACCCTGCTCTCCCCCCTGGGTTGGTATGGGGCTAGGGGGATGGTCCCAAAGCGTTCATAACGTTCATAGAAGGGTATACGAAAATTTACAAACACCTTTTGGGCTCATATGGAGTGGGTACCAGCAGGCTAACATCACTTCACCTGCCAAAGTGCGCCTCATGGGCGCTTAAATCGCAAATTGCGGGGGAACCTCTGATCCAAATATTATGGGACAGGGACCATTCTACTCAGCTCGTCGAGAGCTTTCTAACGGTACCAGACACGTAGGGAACGGAGGAGGTAAGTCCCAAAACGCGATATAGTGGACACCTGTTTTCACGCCTTCCGATGTCCTGGCCAAATAGGACCAAACAACCTGGGTTGCCTACTACATGAAGGGAAAGTCCGAATGGGCAGACCAGTCAATGGTCATTGCTCGAGTAGGTCGAGTACTGGAATACCAAACTTGAGGTTGAAAGTCGATGTACGCAAGTGCACCGGTCAAGTACGCCTCGACGGTACTGGGGGGTAGGCTGGCTGGTCTTGGACCGAGTGATTGATGGGACCTGTCTGACGGGGTGTACTCACTTGGGATTGACACGGCTGGGCTTTTAACATCGGAATTGACGGTGGTTGGCCTGTTGGAAGTCGGGTACTCTCGAGTGCCCGCACTGTGGGATGGTGCGGATTACTTGCTGATAGCTAAACCTGTCGCATTTAATCAATTGGGAATCCGCTACGACTGCGCGACTTTCGTTTGAAAGTTACCGGTTGTTAGTAGTTCCCTCTGAAGGCCACGATCGAGGTTGCTGCTTGCGACCACGAGAAGTGTTCCTGAAATTTGTGAGACCGGGGAATAAGGCGGTTTGACTGACGGCTTGGAACTGCTAGTACTCTCGAGGAAAGCATTTCAAGTTTCAGTTGAATCTAATCAACTCGATTGACGAACTCCCGACCGAGAAAGCAGACTTGCGTCTGCGACTATCGGGCGTTGCACACTTCGGTGTGCAAGGACGGAAAGTAGTTACCTGGTTGATCCTGCCAGTAGTCATATGCTTGTCTCAAAGATTAAGCCATGCATGTCTAAGTATAAACAACTTTGTACTGTGAAACTGCGAATGGCTCATTAAATCAGTTATAGTTTATTTGATGGTATCTTACTACATGGATAACTGTGGTAATTCTAGAGCTAATACATGCAATCAAGCCCCGACTTCCGGAAGGGGTGTATTTATTAGATAAAAAACCAAAGCGGCTCGCCGCTCCCTTGGTGATTCATAATAACTTCTCGAATCGCAT